TTTTAGCTAGCTAGTATTGCACGCAACTAATTAGCGTTACACCAGTATCGACAGGTGGGGGGGGATTCGGTTTGGTCGTTCGGTGCACTTGGTTCTGTTAACGGGGCGGGGTGCCCTGACGTATTACGTCATGAAATTAGCATATCATGATATTTATTTGCCCGGGCAAACTTTTTTCACCGGTATTATCGTGACCGATATGATGTGGCCCAGCTCTACTTCCAAGCCTAAATACAACCTCAGCTCCAGAGGATTAAAGTTACAGAAATTAATGATTTGTAAATCTAAAACCGCATTTTATTCGTAATTGAATATAATAATGACAATTTGTATTTTATGCCAGCAACACATCTCAAAGAAAAGACGGGACAAGATCAACAAAAGGCGGCAAAATTAAATGACGTGAATTCAAAAAATAAAAAAACAAGTGGAGGAGTATTTTGCAAATAATTAGGTCAACTGTCTACAGGTCAGTAAGAGGACGGGGTATAAGGGCGGCTGTGGCTGAGTGGTTAGAGCAGTTGGCCACCAGTGCAAGAACTGGGGGTTCAATTCCACCAGCAGTCACATGCTGAAGTGTCCCTGAGCAAGACACTGAACCCCTCACTGCCTCTGATGTGGTTCCCATCGGTGAATGAATGTGATAAAAAAAAAGATTGTTCTTTGTACAGATTTTTTTTTTCATCGACCCTTTATTTATCCAGGTCGTCTCATTGAGCCACGAGAACTCATTTTCAAGAGAGACCTGTTTAGGGAGCAGATGGAGGGGGTGGTTAAGGGCCTTGCTCGGGGGCCCAGAGTGAGGCCAATGATGGTGGAGGCAGGTGTGGGTGTTCCACCTTTTCCACCCACATTTTGATGTTGTCGGTACCGGGAGTTGAACCTGCGACTTTCCGATCACAGGCCCATCTTCTAACCTGTGAATCTCACACTTCACAGCAGGAAACGTGGACCTGGAACAACTTTTATGAGACGTCGTGTGTTGCTGCTATAAATGGAAATTTACCTGAACTTCCACTGTGCTGGTCAGCAGACTCGTCCGGCTCCCCGACCAGCGGCCTCATCCGACTCTCCTCTGGACTTCCATCCAACCACGACGACTCAGACGCCATCCGACCGGCATCAAAGTCCTGACCCGGACTCAGCCAATGAGACCCGGACAGATGGGAAAGACGGCCAATCATCCGAGTCAGAGTGGAGTCCCATCTGGTCTGATCAAAGACTGGCAGTCCCTGCGGAGGGCCAATCATTGAAGAGTGAGCTGACGGCTGTCCAACCAGCTGCTCCAGAACCGACTCCCTCTGGTCAGCAGCGAGATACGACGATTGGTCGATCAGATGGCCAATCAAAGGCCGGAAAGAGTCCCGATCAGTGAGAGAAGAGCTTTCCCCGGTGAAAGACTCCAGATTCTGATGGTCTGTGTCGTCCAAGTCCTGCAAAAACATCCCAACATCTTTCAGGTTCAGTGAGGTTTTACTTCAGACCTTTTAAAACCACATTATTAAAATAAATAAAGACATCACAGCACTGAATCAGAACTTCTTCTGCAGAATCAGTGTTGGATTTAGTAACCGACAGGGAAATCACAAACTTATTAATGGATGAAAAAGTGAACAGCTTTGTCTTTGACCAAGTTTTAAGAAGGAGCATCATGTTCTCAGGTAACCTCAAAGTAGTTCAGCAGTTCAGCTTCTGAAGAGGTGAGAAACTGACCGAGACGCTCCTCCGAGTTCCTGTTGGGAGCGACGCAACGTTCTCGCCCTCCATCGTCCTCCCTGAAACGACAAAAACTGTCAGACTCCTCCACATGCAGGACTTCATCGCGTTCCCTCAGAGCGGAAAAGCAGCATTACAACAGGAAATGTTAAATCTAAATATTTATTGATCTTTAAACGAGGTTTAGAAAAAGATTTTAGCAAAGTAAAAAATCTCTCATAAGATTAACTTTCTAAATCTGACAGATCGACACGTACAGATGAGCTGGTGTGAGTTTATGATTTTTATAAACGTGAAGGTTTTAAGCAGACGTGCTGGGCGACCCGTTCGCGCTCTGTGACATGAGAACGGCCTGCAGCTTCGTCCAAACCAGAGTTTAGCTCAGTGCTCAGTCAGCGGACGGAGCTCTAGACAATTCTGTGTTTGCTGAAGTTGAGCAGCTGTGGCGGCCATCTTGAATCAAGCTGAAAGGTTGATCAGTTGTAGACGTACTGTCTGAGCTTCATTAACGTCTGTCCAGTTGTTTTTGGTGACAGCGGTAAGAAATGTGAACGGCACCTGTCGTCGTCCCCGCAGCGCTCAGAGACTCGTTCAGCTCCCTCGTATATTTATCAATAATTCTCTGGATGCTGCCGTCGTTAAACACTGAATGAAACGATGGAGCAGAACCACCCACAGCCGACGGTCCCTGCGGAGTTTGACGCCCTGGAGACGAGACGTCGCTCAAGTCTGCTCCACTTTCCTGTTTGAAAGACAATTTATCTACGGAAACACAAAAGGGACAAACGACGACGGGTATATTTAGTGAACAATTAGAAAATAAATCCTACAAAAAAGTTAAATCACATAATGTTTTTAGTGTTAATTAAAGGAGGACAAGCCTTAGTTCACAGTCAAGTGACGACTCAAATATAAAAAGTGAAAATTGAATTTACGCCCAGCGGTGTTTGCGTTTGGCTCGGGGTCGGTGGTGACGTAGCTGCCGCTGGAGATGGTGGTGGAGGAGAAGCAATCCGACTCCCGAGGCCTACGAAGAGGCTGACACAAAACAAAGAGTTTAACAACGAACGCGACGTAAAGAAACGATCAAAACTTGTTTTAAACTACGTAACACGCTGAGCTCAGTTCAAGTGTAGAAACATCATGAAGTGTTTTAATGAACACTTCAGTTCAGCAATTTATCATCATCGCTCAGTACGCACACACAATGACACACACAATGACACGCACACAAACACACAATGACACACACACACAATGACACACACACAATCAAAAATCACTCTCACAATCAAATGACAACACAAACACACACACAGAAGCTTCTCATGCATAATCACGGGCCGAGGCGTGACGCCCCGAGCTCTCAGATTTGGCTGTTTTTCATCATTGATCCACAGTTTGTGAACCTCAGAGGGGATTTAATCCAGATTAAAAAAACTGTTCAGATCTGTAGTAAAGTTCTGTGGAGGCTCGTCACCACCATCTCCACTGTTTTTAACACGCGTAGGTGTAATGGAGAAAATAAACGTTTCCCACGCTTGTAGTTTCAGAACCGTTCTAATGTTTGACTCTTAAAGGAAAAGAAGAAACGGTTTTAAGTTTCGGACGTCTCTGCCGTAGTTACCTCTGAGGGAGATTTATAGCTGCCATTTGCAGGACCAAACAGGTCAGCTCCTCTCCCAGAATCAGAAGAAGGCGGTGAAATTATTTTCAGGACGGAATCTGAAAGTAACAGAAACCAACGAGTATTATTCCAACTTCACATTTTTCATTATTTTATTCATCGTTTCGGCTCCGTCTGTAGTCGCTCCGTGTTCACACCAGAGTCTGAACGTTCCGGAGACGTTCCTGCTCCCGACAGCAGCCTCTCCCTCCAGGGACGTTGGCCGGACGTCTCCGAGCCGACTCCCCCAGCGGTTCGTTGTCCGCTGCTGGACACAGACAGACTCTGCAGAGTCCCGTCAGACGACACGAGTGATTCTGACCCGTCCTGCAGATCCTGACCCGCTGTAGGACAATCTGTCCCATCCTGACCTACAGAGCGAAGACACAAACAGTCAGACATTCCCTCCGTGGGTCTGGGTAAAGGATGAGTCGACAGTTGCTCCGATCAGACCTGTGACGTGACTCATGTTGACGGGAGTCTCCGCCTCTTGAATGGCGCTGAGCTCATGTTGTTCAGTCATTTCTTTAAAGCCCAACTTGACACGGGTCACGGGGGGTTTTGGTGCCCGAGGAGGGTGAAAGAGTCCAGACAGGAGAACTGAAGATGGAGGAGGTCCAGCAGGACCACTGATCTGAGCCACAGGAGCTTAAAACACACAAAAATTTAAATAAGCAATTCAGAAGAAAGAAATATTAATCACAGAACAAATAAATCAGATTCTACAGATTTTGTCTGTTATTGAGATTATTGTGATTAATGTTTTTTCTCTCTTTCTGAAACAAATGCATCCTCCCACCGGTCTCAGCAGAGTCACACAGAGTTTGTCGAAGGGAGCCATCCCTCTCCTCAGCATCCTCCAGGTGAGATAAAGTTCCCCCGTTCGACTCCTCGATGGCCTTCAGCAGTGAGACGAGCAACATCCGTCGTCGTTGGCCGGCGTCCTCAGAGTGCAGCTCTTCACAGGGAGTCTGTGAAACGTGCTGCAGGTGAGAAAACGCATCAGGAGATTTAATGGTGATCCTCACGCCTTACCTTTTCTAACTCCAAAGAAAAACTACCAGTTTATTATTCGACTGCAGTAATTCTCCCACATACTCCATCAGTGTCTATCAGAGCCTGCAGAGTCGACTTCTGTCTCCTCATCTGCTCCAACTCCACTTCACGTCTCCGCCTCCCTTCTTCCTGCAGCCTCTGCATCACTGCCTCCCTCTGCGTCTCCGTGTCCTCTCTGGGAATCAGGCCTGCACCCACAGATGGGCTCCTGGGGCTAACGGCTCGGAGCGGATCAGAGCTGGACTGTGAGATGCTCGGTAACAGTTTGTGAGGCAGCAGCTCAGAGGACGGTCTCAGTCTGTCTGGTAAGTGTTCTGTTACTTTCTTCATTATGTCGTCAGTCAGGTAAGTGTTTCCATCTGGTCTGTGTAAACTCAGAGTGTCTGAAACAGATTCACCAGACTTCAGCTCTGAGCAAACACCCGCACTGGGAGCAGGACAAGGAGGTGGAGCCAACGCCTCAGAGTCTCTCGTGACAACCTCCGCAGAGATTTGTGGCTCATTCTGAACAAAAGGAGGCGCTGCAGGGGGAGTGGGGAGCTGCAGAGGAGCTGGAAGGCGGTCAGACTGTGCACCAAGCAGAGGAAAGATGCTCGGGGGCCGGACGACAGGCAGCAATGACCTGAAAGTCATGTTGTGGCGAATTTGTAGAGCTCGCTGGTATTCCTCCAAACGATGACGAGCGACTTCCACTGACCTCTGGTGAACTCTTCAAAAACAAAATAAATCGGAGTTATTCAGCCGTCGTTGGCTTTGGAGGTGACCTGAGTGGACGAGAAGTGACCCACCTGTTCTGCTCCAACAGCCTCTGCTGGTATTCTCTGACTCTGCTGGTGTGATCGTCTTCACCTGCAGGAGGAGCTGGCTGCACGCACACAAATGTTTCATTATTTGCTCAATTAAATATATAGATAAGATCTGTGCATTAAAAACAACGTTATATGAACCTCAAACTCTATTCTGCCTGAATAACAAAGACAAATAAATTAACTACTAGATGATGACACTTCCACGGTGCCTCTTCAAAATGTTTGACCAGAGTTTTTAATTTTATCGTCTATACGCAGACCTTTTTATTTTCACTCATGCACTGATGAGTGTGTCGGGGGATCCATGCTGTGCCTGGGCTGTGGATCAAACCCCAAATGCTCCGACTGGAAGACAAACCCCACAACCACTGGACCAAAGCCAGACGTGCCCATGTATGACACAGCTACAACTACCTGAGTGATTAAACCAGGGGTGACCTGCTGGTCCCATGCAGGTTCTTCTTCTTGGTTAAGGATGGTTTCCTGAGTCGCAGCAGCCGTCAGGCGGTCCCTCTCCTGCTGAGCTTCAAGCAGCATCTGCTCCAGTTTGGCTTTCTGCTCCTCCAGCTCCTGCAGCAGAAACATATGCTGCCGTTTCTCCGTCTCCAGCTCCTCCTCCTGGGAACAAAAAAAAAAAATGTAAAAACTGAGACCAAACTCGGAGGCTTCGGTCGTCTTGAAGATATTTCAGTGTTAGTTTATTTCCTGGAAAAGGACAAACTGCTTCCTCTCTTTTCGCATCACGTCCAAAGTGAAGGCAAACTGCAGAAACGGTTTCTGCATGAACTTCTGATAAAATCTGTGACATCACTAAAGCCATTTATCACCAGGGTTCTCCAGCTGTGGTACAAGTACCACTGGTGGTACTCGGTGTCCCTGTAGTAGTACTCAAAAGAAACTTTGGCATCGACTTTTTACAACTTAAGATAATCATCGATCATAAATTAAACTGTGATGTAAACCGAAAGAGCAGAGGCAGACTTGGTCAAAAACTTCACCAGTTAGGACGAAGAACATGGCCGACAAGTCAAGACCTCATCTCTGTCGTTTGGTCTAAGAATCAAAATATAAAAATTATTAAATTTATTCTGATTACTTCACATTCTAAGTGTCTTTAGGTTTCTTGTTATGGTTCATCCACAGCTAATGTTGGCCCAGTCCAGGTTGATCAGGCCTCGTGTGTCGTTTCGCCTGTTAGGTTTATTAAAGGGTTAAGTTTAGGATAAAGATCTGGTTTTTATTTTAGATTCTCATAACGGTAGTAATTAAAGCTCATTGCAGCTCATGTGGGGGCTATGTGGCTTTTAATGGTGACAGACGCTGCACTCAGTTATCAACCGTGTTTCAAAATGTGAAAACGTAATGAATGTAGTAAAACAGACGAGGCGGGGACGTCTGGTCATTTCTGTCACACCACAAACACAAACCTCCATCTTGTTAGTATTTCCTTACAACGTGAATTAAAACCGACGCAAGATTTAAAGGAATTTTTATGTAATTTAATTGTTGATTTATTGTTCCGTCTACATCAAAGTGCACAAATATATCCTCTAAAAATAGACGCTGATATTTACCCTTTTCTTTCGCTCTACGTCGAATTCTTGGAATTTGCTGGCGAGAACGTGAGGAAGTGAACGGTGTGGCTGGTCTTTAAGCTCCTCAGCTGATTGAACCAACACAAAATAAAAATTAAAACAACTGGAAATAAAGACTTAATGTGAAGAAGATGTATAAAAATCTTAGGAGGAAAGAACCACCTACAAGCATCACTATCGTCACACAGTAAATGTTTTTCAAATGATAAAAATTAAACACGATAAACATTTATTAGGTTATGAAATAATTACATGATGACAGTGAAGGGCTCACCTGGTGGGGGGGTGGTGCCCTCAGGAGCCTCGATGGGGGTCTGTTCATGTTTCTCTTCACTCTGTAAAGATCCAGATTCGATGCTCGTGTCCCGCTCTGGGATCAGGTCCGTGAAGACAGTCGGGGAATCGGACACGCGGCTGCTGCCACTGACCCACTCATCCCTCTGGCTCCTGATCCGATCCAGGAGTTTCCTCAGAGCCCGTCTGGGAGCGGGCTTTGGAGGCTCCGCTGCAGGTCAAAAAATGTTTGAATGATTTAAATCATTTACTGAAGTTTGGGACGGTTATTACAAGATGTTTACTATTAAATAAGATTGAAACAAATGTCTGTTTAGATTCAGACAAGTTTCAAATTTATTTAAAAAATAAACGATTTTTCTTCTTCTCTTCACCTTCAGCAGATGTTTCCTGCTCAGAGCTTCCAGCTTGTCGCTCCGTGTCATTGTGCACATGCTCTGCTTCAGGCCTGGACGTTTCGTCCAAAGTAACATCGAGCTCTTGGTCCCGGCTGCCAGTGGAAGAAGCTGGAAGAGGCTCAGGCACCAACTGGACCACCAGATCACCTTTAACCCCTGAGATGAGACACGTTACGTTTAGGGAGGTTATTTTAACGCTACGATCAACGTACTGTAGCTTTTCCTCAAGATGTAAAGAAATCCTGCAGACACGCTGCTGTCTTCTGATTAACTTCATCTTCAAAGTGAGAGGACACGCAGAACGGTCCTTACGCCTCTCTCCGGTGTACATGTCCTCGAAGGCGAACTCCATGTCCCTCTGAAAGTCCTCCCTCGTCTCCTGTCTCTTGTAGAGAGGCTGGAAGATCTGCGGTGGCATCTGTGCCACCTGCTGCCTCCTCCTCAGCATGTCCGTCTGCTGCAGGTGCTCCAGCTCCACCAGCAGACGCTCCCGATCCTGGAAAAAAAAAAAAAACATGGCTCCCAACCGGCTTAAAATATTTCTCGTCTTTAAACGAGCAGAAATGCAGGTTGACACAAGACCACGTTCAGTTTTATTTTACTGATTCTACACAAAATAATGTGTCTATAAAAGATGCATACAACCAGTAATATTGCTTTCTCTCATTAAATATTCATGTTGTAAGAAAACTAAGTTTTATTCCATTCTGCTCTCACAGAACAAAATACTTTCACAAAGTGTAAAGATTTCATCTATTTAAAGTTTGTGTGTAGTAACTTTAGATATATTAAAAGACGCTCCCATAGTGAGTTAGTATCTAAAAATAAAAGTCAGTCTCAACAACCTAAATCAGAAAAAACAGAGTTGTAACAAATCATGACATGAAAAAGTGAGAAAGTGCTTCGATGTTCATCCTGATCTGAAAGCATCTGTGGGAACCAAACCCAGCAGCTCACAAACCGTTGGAGCCTGAAGGTGTGACGGATAACACCCCAGGAACAAAACTCCAAGACAAGACGTTCTTAGTGAAGTCAAAATGAGACAGGGGGTCATAATGTTATGGCTGGCCAGTGTATGACCAGTTTTCATGCCGTCAGTTAATGTTTCAACAGCGATGGGAAGAGAAGAGTAAATCTGCATGAACTACCTGCACAAGCTGCTCCCGCCTCAGAGCCTGCCTCCCTCGGACACGAGCTTTCTCCAGCTGCTCCTCCCTCCTCCTCTTCTCCTCCTTCTGTAGCTCCTGCAGCCTCCTTGCCTCCAGCTCAGCCTCTGTGTGCGCATCAGGCTGCAGATCCAGCCACAGGTTAGACAAGTCCGACAGGGATGCAGACGATCCAGATGTGAAGCGTGGATCGTACCTGAACGGTCTCTGCCTCCCTCTCTACGGCGCTCTCCAGCATGTGGTAATGTGTGGTGGCAAAGGCGCTCGGATCACATCTCCTCACCACGTGTGGCTTCTTAACATCAACGCTCTGCTTGAACAAGAAGGCTCAGTTCCATGGACAGAATCGGTCGATCTTTGTGTGAAGACAGAAGTCGGTCTGTCCAGACGACGGAGTCTCGTTCGTTTTAATGAAATCTCAACAGATAAACCGATTTAAAAACAAGAAAACTGATTTTACCAAAGTTCTTTGGTAAAACTTTCACTTTAGGGGACGTTTTGTCGTTCACAGAAAAGTTGTAAACAAAACTGCAGTTTTACGTCCTAGTCTTGATGAAGCTCTGCTGCTCTGACAAACCTGCATCAGCAGAGATGACGACGTTCTCTGTTGGGGAGTTTCTGATCGTGATCAAAGGTTTTCTGATCCGGGTTTACGGTGATAGTTGGGGTTTAATAATTTATCAAAGAACGCAGTCAGAATGTGGGTAAATGACCCAAAGCAAAATCAGGTGGAATTTATTTGTGCCCGTTTTCTGCAGGTAATGAAAAAAACCAACAGTATATTTTATAAAAGGGACATTTTTAAATGATGGCTCAGATTATAATCTGTAACTCCGATCCGGATCAGTTAATCTGTTTCTAACAGAGTTTCATACGCAGCCAGATCACCTGGATGGGCTTCAGAGGAGGTGGGAGACTGGCCACTTTCGCTGATCTTTCTTTTTCTGCCTGTAGAGCTTTCTTCCGGGCATTAATGGGCCTACAGATAAACAAAAAGAGGTTTTGTTATTTCAAATTCTTTCAAAACATATTTCAGTTTAATTTTTGTATCTTACCGGTTTTGCCTGTCATGATCTCTGATTTGTTGTGTTTTGAGCTCCTTCAGGGCTTCTCGATAACGCTCCTCTGCTTTGGCCTGATTTTCCTCCTCCCTCTGAGCAATGGCTACAAGATCAGGTTCCTACAAGAAGATCTGAGTTAGTCCAACTCTTTTGTCTCAACAATTATTTTTTAAATGAAGTGTAATTACTGTACAGTTATTTCAGTCACATTGTCCCATCCTGCATGAAGACAACACAACATCAGTGCTACAAACTGTACCTTCAGCCTGTGAGAGCTTCACAAACTTTTATTCTTTAACTAATAAAAATGGGTTTTGACTGCAGTCTTACGTTTTCTTTTGCACTCCTGTGGCCCTGGCCGATTAGCTGCAGGCTCTCTTGGTATAATCTCTGCAGCGTCTGGAGTTTGTCCCTCTGTTGTCGAGTCCACTCCTCCCTCAGCTCCTGTTCCAGCTGTTGCAGCTCATGTTGCCGTCTCTGCTCAACCTCTCTGCGGATCTGCAGAGCGATGTGCTTCTGCTGCTCTCGTACCTGGACGCAAAAGCAAAGGACTTCCTTTGAAACGTGCATTTTAAACGAAGTTGACAAACTAAACCAAACTGAGGCAGTTCCACCCCCACATCTACATTTGATAAAATCAGTCAGGTACTTTAGTATTAACAGGTACGGTAGATTACCACCAGATGCTCCAGCTGACATCTTGTTCAACCCCTGAAATTGTGATTTTACTACATGGCAGGGACTAAGCAGAAAAAAACAACATCTTTTTATTGGTTAGCAGGTTGGAATAATGTCAATTCACAATAATAACTTAGGAAAAGTACTCAGAATTAAAATTTTCATCCAGCTCTTCACTTCCTATACGAAAGTGGAACAACTTGAAACTTTTGCTCCAACAAAGACACGTCTGATTTTCTTAAAGGTGTCGAGGAACTTTTTAAAACAACCTAATAGTTTGTTAGCTCATGTTTTCAACTACTGTATATACCGGTAGTAAAAAACAACTGATTTGATTAGTCAGGCCCCCATTAGACGATATGAAGGTTCAGATTTCTTCTGACTTTACCTGCTGTATTCGTAGTTTTCTCCTTCTTTCCTGCTCTTCGCGTATTATCCGAGCCTCTTCGTTGGGACTCGGTCTTAATTTCGATACTTTTCTTTTCATTTTCCTCAGATTTGAACACGAACATTTCCCGATCGCAGCCGAAGCTAATTGAAGCTAATTTAGGTTAGCTTCTCTAACTCGTTGCACCAACTCTTTGTAGCTAGAGTAGCTACCGCCACAACGCAGTGAGACATTTGACATTTAAAGCGTTAAAAAAAATACTTTTTTTTTTAAAGAAGCAAAAACATATAAAGTGCTAAGTAGGAAAATATCTATCGAGTCAAATTGGAAAAACGAACGTTTTGTCCAAACATCACTTCCGGTGATTTAAACCGCCCGCCGCATCGCATCCGTCCCGTACACAATTTGTTTCCTAACGTTCCTACTTAAATATTTTCTGTTCATATTAATTGTGTTACATAAAATGCACACAACACAAAAACGCTTTTAACAATAAAAAAATTAAAGCTCATAAAATTGCAGCCCGCTTAAGTGACTCCTATCAATAGCACTTTTAGAAAAACACACGGGGTTTTTAAGTGGTGACACTGGGTTTGCTCCTTTTTGCCTATTACGGGCTAAAATTAACAACGAGCGGCAAAGGCGGAGGGTGTGTCTCTTTTAGACAGAGACCGGCGATCACAAAACTATTGTTTAAAGCAAAATGCTAACATTTAATGCACAGACTGAAATTCAATAATTAAAGAAGATTCACTGAATTTGTTTGTTGTGAGCAAGGCCAACGTCAGCTAAACTGTGGCCAGTGTCCGCCTACTTGGCTCGCCGCTGAGGGCACCGGTTCCTAAATGGTGCAGACCAGCTGGTTATGTGAGCAGAGTGAAAAATGAGCCGCTCAAATCGCTGCTAATTTCAACTCATTTAAGCGAATAAACATTATTTTAGCGTCAATTTTGAACACTGCAGGTAAGATGTATTCGAGTCAAGCTCTATGTTGTCACTTGAACTGTTCCTTTGTCCTTTGGTGTTTATATTTTAATTAATTGAAGGAAACGGCTAAAGCTAGCTGCTGAAAACAGATGAACTGTAGCTGAGGAGTAAATGTATAAATGCTGTTATTGAATAATGCTAACGTGTAAAAGACAAAATAACTTAAAGTCTTGAATAATTTTAATTTTCTTTACGTTTTGCTTCAAAGAAGGCAATCAAAGATCAGTTTTTCAGGCTTTCTGGACATTTTTAAAGGTTTTTTGACTCGTTTTTCAGTCCTATCCTTGTGAAAGAAGCTAAAAATTGCATACCTATAATAAAAAGTAAGCACATAAACAAAATCTGAAAGTTAATTTTATCTGCTTAAGTTCATTTTTAAAGCTTACGAGTCTGGCCCATTGACAGCAGAATAAATAAATAACTGTAAGAATTTTTCCACAAGACTTTTACAGCCATAATACATCACCTAACACAGTCGATTGTATTTAACCAGGCTTTATTCGGTTAACTAGGTGAGATTGGAGACGCCCAACTAATCAACATGAATCTTTGTGTTTCAGGTTTGTTTCGTCATGTCTGGAGTTCCAGCAGTCAGGATCAGCATCGAGTCTTCCTGTGAGAAACAAGTTCAGGAAGTGGCTCTGGATGGCACAGAGACATATGTCCCTCCTTTGTCCATGTCCCAGAACCTGTCAAAGTTGGCACAAAGAATTGATTTTAGCCAGGGGTCCGACTCGGAGGAGGACAGGGTCGATGGTGAGCCCAGGGACCGAGACTGGGGCAAGCAGGAGTTGGAGGAAGAAGAAGGTACAGCAAAACTAAAGATGGCACAGAATGTACTTTTTATTTCCCCTCCAAGCTGTAGTTAATGAACTATAAATGTATTAGAGCTAACAGGTTGCTCTGCATTTTAGTTGACACTTTAACAAACATCTGGGGTCTTTAAAAACTAGCATTTTAGATGCAGAACCTGGTTAAAAAAAAAGACTTTTTTTTTCATCATTATAATTAACAAATTACACCGGAACAGTTTGATCTTATTCTCTTCATTTTGTAAATTACTACAAACCTAAACGTAATGGTTTAATTAATAAAAGTTCTTTGAAAAGGACAAATTGGACCAGTAAATAAACTTTATATTGATATTTTCAGCTACATAGAAACATGTCAGTGTGTGATTTTGATGCTTATTTTGAAGGAAAAACAAACAAACTTACAAGCAGAATGACAAGATAACTGCTAATTCTTTTAGTTTAAATCTGCCCTATATTGAAATAATGCACTTAATGCTGACAAGACAAGAACAAACAGGACAAATGGATTAATTTAAAGTAATATAAGTAATTTATTTAGCGTGTGAAGTTATTCTTCTTTTGGAACGAAGTGTGATTTTTGTGTCTTTCCAGGCACCGTGAAGTTTCAGCCCTCTCTGTGGCCTTGGGACTCGGTGCGTAACAATCTGCGCAGCGCCCTGACCGAGATGTGTGTGCTGTACGATGTGCTGAGCGTGGTGAAGGAGAAGAAGTACATGGCCTTAGATCCAGTTTCACAGGATCCGACTGCTGGCAAGGTAAGATGCTCAAAAGTAGCTCTGAACATCTGCAGCGTGTGGAGAACTCTGAGATTTGTGCTTGGTTTCTCCACCTGTCTGCAGACGCCTCAGGTGTTCCAGCTCATCAGTAAGAAGAAATCTTTGGCCACAGCAGCGCAGGTTCTCCTGAAAGGAGCAGAGAAGCTCAATAAGTCTGTTGCGGAGAACCTGGAGAACCGGAGGCAGCGGGACTTCAACGCTGAGCTGCTTAGACTTCGTTCTCAGTGGAAACTCCGCAAAGTGGGAGACAAGATCCTGGGAGACCTCAGCTACCGGAGCGCTGGTGAGAAGACGGCTCCTCAGAGATTTTTAATGAAACCTGAGCAGATTAACTTGCTGGTTAACGTTTGCGCTCGTGCAGGTTCCCTGTTTCCTCACCACGGCACATTTGAGGTGATCAAAAACACAGACATTGATCTAGACAAAAAGATCCCAGAGGACTACTGTCCACTGAACGTCCAGATCCCCAGCGACTTGGAGGGATCGGCTTATATCAAGGTTTGACGCCGTCCCAATATTCATGTTTCTCTTGTTTAACTGTAATTTAATTTAATTAATTTTTTTGTCACCTGTCGCCGATCGAAAAGTAGGAATTGGAGTCAACCTCCATCCATCCGTGAACATTGTGCACACAATAACTTGAGAAATAGGGTGCCAACTTCCATTTCGGCGTGTGGCTGCATCTGCATGCGGCGCAAGAGGGGTTCCTTTTAGAAAATTGAGTTGCCACGTCAAAATCCAAGATGGCCACTGCCGTATGTAAACCAGCTACCTCCTTCATTTGAAGAAACAATGCTTTCTAATTTTCATATTGCTTAAAAGTATAGTTTCTTCAAATGTTTGGGGTGACCGAAGATTAATCTATGGTGACCAAGGCCACCAGTGGCCACCCCCTGGCTCCGCCATTGCAATTGGTCATCACGTTGCTCTCTCCACTCGCCAGGATCCATAACTGCGCTGCTTCGGACAAGAAAAAAAAACGTACTCTGTTCTTCTCCACAGTGTAACTCCTACGTACTTGAATATCTTGCACCAAAAACATTCTCTTCAATTCAAGTCCAGAAAAACACTCATCTTTAAAACTACAAACATTCACTGTTCAAATCCCTCAGCGACGGGGGACGTCGTCGTCCCGCTTCTTTCACTTGTAAAGACACAAGCAGCCAGGCGAGGATGCGAAACACTGAGCGTTAAAGATTTCTTGCTCCGTTGATTTCCTCAGGTGTCCATTCAGAAACAGGCTCCGGACATCGGGGATCTGGGAACGGTCAACCTTTTCAGGAGACCCCAAAAGACAAAATCTGGTTCGTTCAGCCCACAAAACTCATAAAACTAAATCATACACTTCAAATACATCTCCATACTTTGATTTCTCCTCTGAAATCTTCGTGTTGTTTTAACAAGATGTTGTTTTGTAACCCTGTCGTCCGTCCTTCTGGTCTCCACTCTCAGGGACGCAGCCGTGGCACGTCAAACTGGAGGCGGCTCAGAACGTCTTGCTCTGTAAAGAAATCTTTGCTCAGCTGTCCAGAGAAGCTGTCCAGATTAAATCACAGATCCCTCACATCGTCGTGAAGAATCAGATCATCTCGCAGCCCTTCCCAGGTCAGAGACTCTCATGACCACACGAAAATGGAAAAACACGGGGGGGGTTATTCTTTTGGGTTTAACCAGAAAAGACCCACCTGTTGCACGTTCACAACACCATAACTGTTTGAGGCTGTTTGTGTAAAGTAGCATCTCGTTGCACTTGTTTCTTTTAACTGAATGTTGAGTTAAACGTTGCCATTAAAGGCTCCGCGTGGTTTAATTTTCACAAACCTTCTGTGTTCTTGTGATTCTTTCTTCACGCTGCAGGCCTGCAGCTGTCGATCTCTTTGTGCCACTCCACGGGAGAGAAGAAAAACAGTCGGGCCTCTCCAGAGAAACCCAAACCGGACGACCATCTTTACGTACTGGAACACAATCTGCATCAAATGATCCGAGAGGTGGGACCTCTACGTTACTGCTAAACACAGCTCCTCTTGACCTTCCTCCGTGTTTAGGGGGCTTCTTGTAGATCGCACAAAATTAGAATCGTTTTGTTAGTCCAACCATTTCAGGTGACGTGATTAAAACTAATCGTGAAGTTAAACAAAAGCATCTTATTGTTTGAAGAAATATTCACCAGTGGGTTTAAAAAGCATCACTGCTGCAGCTGCACACATTCTCACTTCTACTTTTCCTGATCTGCAAATCTGGGTGCAGTTTTCTAATTTGTTGGCACAGATGACTGATTTAAATCGAACGGCTCGTTTATACAGAACACGGTTCATCAACAGACTGTGCAGATTTACACGACTGGTTCTCTTCGTGCGCTGGAAGTGATCCTCCATCATAATTTAACATGACGTCCTCGTTGCAGTTCCACAAGCAGCAGCTGAGTTCTGTGGTCATGCCGCATCCTGCCAGCGCTCCGTTCGGCCACAAACGCCTTCGCCTAGCCGGCCCGATGGCGTACGACAAGGCCGAAATCTCCAGCCTGCAGCAGAGCGAGGGGCTGCTGGAGAAGATCATCAAACAGGCCAAGCACATCTTCCTACGCAGCAGGTCACTACTTCAAATACCTCTGAGCTCAAATCAAACAGGCCGTCAGTAAATACGTCCAATAATCTGCAGCGCAGTGCCACATTTGACCATTTTCAACATTTAAGCCACTTTAGTCTGAAGATGTAGATTTCCAGTATAAATTATTTTTATGTCTGTTTAGTCTGTATATGGTCAACGTTGTTGCAAAAACAAAGGAAAATAATGCAGAGGCAAAGAAGAATAAATTATGATACAGAGGCATCACTGAAAAGACAAAAAGCATATTTGGCCTATATCTATCTATCTATCTATCTATCTATCTATCTATCTATCTATCTATCTATCTATCTATCTATCTATCTATCTATCTATCTATCTATCTATCTATCTATATCTAGATCCATGTAGACTGGTCCCAAAGGACATCTGGATCCATGTAGACTGGTCTTAAAGGACATCTGGATCCATGTAAACTGGTCCCAAGGGACATCTGGATCCA